CACACGTTCGAATATCCGTCGAAACGGACCACGGAGAAGATTCTCCCACGACCGATCATCGACCAAAAGAGAACTCCACGCATGAACGGTGCGAATTCTCACCACACAGCAGGAAAGTGGCCACACGACAACGGCGGCAACCAAAATACTCAGAACAAAATCAGTGAGCCTTCAATGACTGACGAGCCAAAGTAATAGACCTAAGAAACACGATAGGCCTGGTCGCAAACGTTTTCTTACCGTGGTGCTTGCAAAAACCGTGCGCTAACAACCAACACCGAGCAATCCAAGCCCCGGACCTGAAAAATCAAAATCAGAAACGGAAAAAGAAAATACGAGGGCGTCGGGGTGGGGAAATGAGACACTATTGGGACACCCCGGTCCCAAAGGGGAGTGTCTTACGAGACCCGCTTTCCAGTTTAGGAGTTATAGCTGGTAGTTGAAGTTGTTATAGTTGATAATTCTCGGTTTGTTAGGGATGCGTTTTATACCCCTGAGTCAATTTCGTCGTCATTCATTCTACCTGGTCATTCGTCTGGGTCTAAACGGTAGTTGGAAGGATGGTGAATTTGATGGGGGCGCAATTCGTAAGGAACGGGTGGTTGTTGCTTGCGAAGGACTGACAGTTGTCCGTAGGAGGCTGAAGTCCATGAGTTGAACATCTTAAAATCGAAACGGCGCGGGTCCACTTTTCTCGAATAGAAGGGCACTTCGAATAGTCCGTGCACGTGAGTACAACACGTACCTTTTTTATTTAAATTTCGAAAAGAAAAAACTCTTGTATTTGAAAAAATATTATCATTTTTTTTTTTTTTAAAGGTTAGCAACTGTCCCTTGTGCTCCCCACCACTGACACGCTGCATGCTGTTGGGCTTCCTCTCTCTCTCTCTCACATACACACACACACACACTTTTTTCTTTTTTTTAATCCCCAAAAGTTCAACTTCAACTCACTAGAGGAGGTGATATGAACATTCTCCTGTAGTGGACGAACAACAGACTTAAGGCTGCGGTATAGTGGGCTTTGGCGTCTGTGTCAAGGTGTCACATTTTTTGTGGCGGCGACCAAGACGTAAAGTGGGTTCTTAGGGGGCAAAAAAATTTGGGAGACCGGTCCTCGACAAAATTGCGGACTACCTACAACTAACCCTGGTAAAACCGGGACTTCTGGAAAAAGGAAGGACCGGTCCTCGGGTGGAAGCGGACCCCAAAAAGAAGTGGAGGGCGTTGGATTGGTCCTCGAGTGAAAGCGGACCCCAAAAAGAAGTGAGGGTATGTGAATTGCAAAAGGGCCCTTAGGCCCAAGCGTTGAGGCCTGTCTTCTCAAAACAGGGAGGTCAGGCACAACGAAACAGGCGTTTTGCAAGAGAAGACTTTGGCGATTTTCTGTAGTCAGAGGAACCCGCAAAAAAATCTAAAATTTTGAGAATCCATAGATGAGGTCGTTTTCTTTCTAATAAAAATATTATAACATTTAAAAAAAATCAGGTAGACCACAAAATAATCATCGCACCGATTTGGGATATTTTCAATTTTTGCCACTCAGCCATGTGTGGGCCAATTGAAAAAGTACTCCAAATTCAGTGAGTTTTCGCGCTTAGAAGAATGCGTGAAAAAATCTGAAAATTGGAGTACTCGTAGATTTTGTTGTGATCTTTCCAGGAAAAACGCTAAATAAATTAAAACAAATCATTCCAACCGTGAAATAGATCGCGGCCGCAATTTAACCCATATTTCAATTTTGTCATTCTGTCTTTCTCTCTCTCTCTCTCTCTCTCTCTCTCTCTCTGTGTGTGTGGTGGTGGTGGGGGGGTAGCTGCCCCCCCCTCCCTCTCTCTCTCTCTCTCTCTTTCTTTCTCTCTCTTACTCTCTGTCTTTCTCTTTCACTCATAGCAACAAATGCAACAAAACTCTCTCTCTCTCTCTCTCTGGTAGCCCCGCCCCCCTCCCTCCCTCTCTATCTCTCTTTCTTTCTCTCTCACTCTCTCTCTCTCTCTCATACTCATAACAATAAATGGAACAAAACTCTCTCTCTCTCTCTTTCTTTCTCTCTCACTCTCTSTCTYTCTCTCACTCGTATCAACAAATGGAACAAAACTCTCTCTCTCTCTCTCTCTCTCTCTCTTTCTCTCTCTCTTTTGTGCGCGCTCTTGGTCTCATTGCTTTGACTACCTTAGGGCTGTGTTCCCCGCGCCCACGCGGTAGACAATCTATTAATGGGGAGCAGCAGCTGCTGGAAACCCGTCCAGCGTCCCATGGATTAAACACAGCATAATCACTACCTTACGCTTCCCCAACCACATCAACAAACAAACTACAGCTGCACACCTGTGCCTTTATGGTATATATTTGAAGATATCGTACCACATATTTCGTTTGCAACAGCAGGCCCAACACGATGGTGCTGCATAGATCTGATGTACCATGAACAACATGAGCAGCGTTTTGAACCCACGACCTCATGCTTTTTGTATCTGAGATCATTTGAATCTCCAGCGCCAGACCCATCCGCCCTGTTACACTTTGGCTTTTTCGCTGGTGACCTTCAACTTTTAACCTTTTGTCCCTTTTGCAGGGTCGGCATCAGCCCGGGGCATGTCCCACTCGCACGGATTAAGAGGTCTTCCCCGTTGTTGTTCGTCATCTACCCCTGTTATATCTCTTGATTGGTGCAAGTGGGACCTAGCCCCCGGTTGGTTGTGCCCCCTCCTGCAGGGGCCAGCGAAGCGGGAGGGTCGTATGTCCGTCCAGTCGATCAACTGGTGCAAGACGTCACCTGTGGGCGCAACTGCGTGGCTCGTTGCCGTAAGGATCATCATGGCCAGGTTCCCCTTACCAAGGGCCTCGCTCCACCACTCACGAAATGTGCAAAATGAGAACGAATCTTCCGGCAGAAACTGGAAAGATACGCCGCCATATTTTGCGTCTTTTGTGCATGAGGTGAGTAGTAGAGCGAGAGCCAGCGTCGGTCATTTGGATGGCTACCGGCCTTTTTCTGTTTGTTGGGTGTAACCAGGGCCTTGGACAAACGGAAACCGGATTCTATTCTAGCACAACACACGCAACCAGCCTCAATGACACCAGGGCATCCCTGTTGGTGTGTAAAGCTACCAATAGAGGGTAAAACGAACAAGCAGGGAGAAGGTAGAGCCGACTTGCGTGGCAGGTGACGTGGTCAGCGCCCCGATGGCGACGAGCCGCAATCCGGACATGCTGGACGCTAATTCTGGTGGCTTTTATGTCGCGAGGCGCCGCGCGGCGTGGCTTGGCTTGGCGTGGCGTGGCACGCTGTGCCTTTTTCCGTTTTTGGCGTCAACCCGCCGGTTTGGCTCATCGATTCGCCCGCCGAACAGTTCTTGGTGGTTGGCGGGTGGCGGGTGACGGGCAGGCAGGGTGGCGGGGACCACCACCGGTAGGCAAGTCGACATGCCCATGCCAGGGTGAGAGGCCGCGCGGTTTGGGACGGCACGCGGCTGGACGGGACGGGACGGAACGGAGGTGGGGGTGGGAAGGGGAGGGGGGGGACCTGGGGCGGGGCCTGGTCGGGAAAACGGGACGGGAAAACGGAACACGTCATAGCCAGCGACGGGTCGCTGTAGGCGGGCCGTGCTGGAGCAGTCGTCGGTCTGGGGGTGATGGCCTTCAGGCCTGTTAGAGCGGGTGTCCTACCGATGGCCGCAAGGCGCCCGACCGACCGACCGATGGCCGCACAGAGAGGCTCCCAGCTTCGGACGAGTGCCAACTTCCGCGGCGCGGATGTGGGGACGTCCCCGCCCTCCTCCCCCCTCCGTTTCCTACACTGAGGAAGGACGGATCACGCGTATTCTTGGAAGCTCGACGGGCTTCGAGTTGGAAGCTGACTCGGACTCTAGGTAGTAGTGGAGAGAGGATTTTCTGCCTCGCGGCCGCGCGGCAGCGCAATTGCTGCGCAACGACGTCCCACACGGACAGCTGATGGTCGCACGCCTACAGGGGGAGCGTGCAGCGGAAGCTCTGCCCTCGTGTCGGCTCACCCCCGCGTCTCGGCGGGTGCCGTGTGACGGGCCAACGTCCAGCTTGCACGGATTAAGACATTCTGGCCGTTGATCTTTGCTATCTACGATCAATATCGCGTAATTCGTGTAAGTGGCACCTAGCCCACGGATACCGCCTCAAGTGGCGATCAAAAAGTAAACAAACAAGCGGGAGGGTGTGGGAAAGGGCGCGTGGGAAAGGGTGAGAGACTGAAAGAGAGAGGTGGTAGTGAGTCTGGTGACGGCCGGTTCGTGAAGTCAGTAAATGTTCGTCCGTCTTTTCTACCTTAGCTCGCTCTGCCAAGCGGGATGAACTTGCGGTTGTGGTAATTAAGAGCAAAAAAAAATGGGAAACCGTGAACCTGGACGGTGTATATGGGAGTGAATCATCGAAGACAGTGTGGCAAAAACCGGATGAGGAGGAGGAAGCCGGGAGATGTGTGAATGGAAAGGCTTTTGAGAGCGTTATCGCGAAGAGAACGCAGTCTATGGTCGAACGAAGTGCTGCTGGGATCTGGGTTGCCCTCTGACGAGTCCGTTTAGGACAGGTCGAGGCGGGTCGGATAAGGTGAGAGCATCTTTCTGGCATTGGCTCATCATGAGAATGGGTCGAGTGGTGTTGTGGTATATGCTAGACCCAGGCGAAAGGGATTAATTCAGGGGACTTGTCGAAACCTCAGTGAGGTCTGTGATTAGTTGATTGATTGATTGATTGATTGATTGATTGATTTATTGATCATTCGATTGATAATCGGCTTGTTGATTGAATTACCATCAAATTGGGGGGGAAAGTTGGATCGTAAGGGGGGGGAAGGAAGAGTGGATTGATGTGTGCTATCGAATTGGTCGATGATAGATGTACCGCTGATCAGTAGATTAATTGATCAGTTAATCAAGTGATTGGTTAATCAATTGATTGCTTTGTCAATTGATTGGCCGCTTACTTGTCTGGCTGATTGGATGGCGATCTCGTTGTAAACTGCAGATCTGATAGAAGTGGTTTGTGCGGGAGAGACTCGACAGAGTCAGGACGGCGTGGAGGAGCGGCCACGGTTAGGTAACAGGGCAGAGCAGACTAGCTGCTGACTGATATTGTCTTCCGAACAACAACGCTATTGATGAAATGTGTAATGATGAGAAACACATCGGTTCCGAATTGCAGGGAAGGAGGAGGAGGAGGAGGCGCAGACTTTGGACAGAAGAGCCGCGTATGATCGATCACCTCTGTAGTCAGAGAGCTTTCGACGGGTGGAGAAGACAGTGCATATATAGATATAGATATTGTGTAAGTTAGCATAAGGCTTTGGCGGCAAGTGTTGTTGATTAGATACGGAAGAGATGCGAATCTGCCGCATTGAGCGGGTGGTAGCTTGTTGAAGTTGAGAGATGATGGGTGTGCTAGGCTCTCGCATGTATTACGTTTTGATTAGGCATTGATTTGTGTGTGTGTGTGTGTGTGTGTGTGTGAGAGAGAGAGAGAGAGAGAGAGAGAGAGAGAGAGAGAGAGAGAGAGAGAGAGAGAGGGTTTCGGAAGGCGGCATTTTTGATTAACTGAAACGTTTTTTAAGTGGCTTTTGGTGTATTTATGTATATTTGTCTACTGTTAGTTGTGTCAGTGATGTGTCGTCATGTACTGCGCGCCAATGCTTGAAGTAAGCGAGGAGAGGACCATCGTGACAAGGCGGGTGAGATATGACGCGGGAGAACTCGTAAAGATTTGCGCTAGCTTCACGCTGGCATTTGTAAATGATCGATCTGCGGATTCATGATGGTGGATTTGTTAACTTGAGCAGGACGCGGTGACTGATTGGGCGAGGCTTGTTGATTCGGTCACGACCTGTGCCTCTAGCCTTGGGCCTCTCTTTGACAGTTGGTCTTGGATTATCTCTAGTATTTGAGAGCGAGCAAGCGGACCGATTGCACTGAAGGACTCAGGGGAAACGCGGGAAGAGGGTGTGTGCCGGGAGAGAGAGACAGAGAGAGAGAGAGAGAGAGAGAGAGAGAGAGAGAGAGAGAGAGAGAGAGAGAGAGAGAGAGAGAGAGGAAGTTTTATTTGGGAGGAATACTGAAAGGTTATTGTGGATGGGCGCAGGTGTTAGGGAGTCGTTTGTAGTTGAGGTGTCCGGCATTCTATTTTGATTAGTAAACCGGCCTTCAGATTCATCCACGCGCGCGCGCGCGCATAGGCACAGATACAGAGAGACACACACACACACAGAGAGAGAGAGAGAGAGAGAGAGAGAGAGAACACCCTCCGACTTGGGGTTTCTCTCCCGTTGTTCTCGTCCTTTTATCTATTGCCTGGTGTTCCTCGCTGTGCTGGAAAAACGGGTCTATACAAGTCGATAACGAACGGCGGAAAGAGGAGACTTGGGTGGAAGTAAAGGGTGGGGAAGGGGGGGAGATATATATATATATATATATAGAGAGAGAGAGAGAGAGAGAGAGAGAGAGAGAGAGAGAGAGAGAGAGAGATGGGGAGCGAAGAAGCTGCGGCTAATCTGCCCTCGAGTGATGATCTCTCGGGTAATGCAGTGCGTTGCCGAGGTGCGGCGATGGCAGCTGACGTGGCATCTGCGTCGAATGACGTCTCACCATCGTCTAAGGACATGATGCCCGAGTGTCCTGTCTGTGGAGACATTTATTCCGACGAGGAGAATACTCCCAGGATGCTTCCATGTGGGCATACCATTTGTCAGATCTGCGTGACTAAGCTTCCGATCCAGTTCTCTCCCAGCAGCGGTGGTCGATTTATCAAGTGCCCTGAATGTCGAAGTCGTGTTCTTTGGCGGGGCATGCAGTCTCTTCCCAAGAATTACGCCCTGATCAGGCTTCTAGGTTCCGAAGCCCATCATCACTCGGAGGCTGTCCGCTGCGGCGAAGCCACTGGGCGGAGGGCCAAGATCGTCTCCGTTCTCGGGCTTCTGGAGATTCTCAGAGCATGCGCCTTGGCCCTCACGATGAGGTGCTGGACACACTTGTCTTTTCCGCGCATGTTGCGCCGCGTCAAATGGCTGGTGCAACTGACTTCAGTTCTGTGCGGGTCCTTTGTCGGCTTGATGATCTTCCTCCCGCTTTGCTTCGTCTATGTCATGATTGGTTGGTGGACCGCTTGGCTCTCTTGCCTTGTGTTCTGGTGGCTTGCCGTCGGAGTCGTTGGGTACTCTGTCGGGATCGCATTCGTCTTTCTCTGCGTTTGTTGGATCGAGTTGTTGAGCGGAAGAGTGTTCGGTATCCGGTTCACGTGATCGCCTGGGGGAGAAATTGGGAAGAGATGGATGGAAGAGAGATTTGCTTTCCTCCCGCGGATTAGGGGAACGATGTCCTGTCACTAGGGGAAGATTTGGTAGATGCGAGCGGAGAGCGGAGACGTCGGCGGGTTTTTCGTTCTTTTCGAATTTTTATTCTTCTCTTTCTGTTGGGTGCCAATCTGCCTGCCACGTGGTGCTTCTCTGTCGCGGGCGGAGATTGTAAAATTGTGTATGATCGACACGTGGGGTTGGGAAATCTGTCGCCAACTTTTTGTGTGATTGGAGCGCAGGTCGGGTTTCGCGAATGCTGAGGCTATGCGCGAAGATGGGGGTGCGTGCCAGATTAGCAAGCTCCATGTGGTTGGCTGCGACGAGAAGTGGGTGTGTGCTTTTTTGCTGTATTCGATCAATTGACGGGGTATGTGGTCGTAGTCCTCCTCCATGCTTCCCTCCCCCTCCCTCCCTATTTATCTTTCATGGTTCTCTCTCTTGGGCTTTTCTGCCGTTTGTATACTGTTTATTAAGTAAGGGTACGTATGGTACTCTAAATTGCGCCTATATCGTTTTCGCTCGATTTCGCTCGATTTCGCTCGATTTCGCTCGATATCGCTCGATATCGCTCGATATCGCTCACGAGGTTGCGTCCTCTTGGCGATCTGCCACCATAGGAATAGGTATATAGATAGATCGCAGAGGTGGGTAAGGGCGAGAAAGTGGGGGCCGGGGGGAGGGGGCGGGGGGGGAGGCGGGCTGTGGATGTCCGGGGGGGCGCGGGAAGAGGGGATAGGGTGTTTGTTGCATTCGACGATGTCCGCAGGATGTGGAAATGATTTACCATTTGAAGCGTTTGTTGTGGTGTTGATCTATTTTTTTGTTTTTGTTTTTCTCTTTGGACGGCGACGAGTCGTAGAATCTGCAATGGGATCGAAGATGCCTCGCCTCCGCTTTTTCTCTTCTTCAAGGATAAGTGCATTGAATTGGAGGTGCAGTCGAACTGTGATGGAGCCATCATCGAGCAAGATTATGTCAACAGACTAAAGCAGCATTGACGTAGGATTAATTAACCAGCTTGGTGTTTGCGTTACCCAAGCGATGAACTACGGTTGTAGTTTTCGTTTGTCCAGCAGCAGCGATTGAAGCGACGTGCTCAGCGGTGTGTTCTCTGGGGACAGGTGAAGCTGCGGGGAATCGATCCTCCGTCTACCTGGCAGTATTCCTGCGCTCGATATAACACGGATTGCATGGGGAGGATGGCGGTCTTCAGGTGTATTCCGTGCGGGTCTGCGCGGAGAAGCTCTTTTGCGGAGGAGAATTTCTTCTTTCAGTAATCGCGTGTTAAGCAAGCTACTCATTGCAGGGCCTGGTCGCTTGTGGGTGGCTTTGTTTGCTATCTGTCATCGTGTATGTGGCTGAGGAATTCTTGCTATCATGATTGAGGAAGACGAAGTCGTGCAATCGAAGGAGCTACTGGGTTTTCATTGCAGGGAGTCGACAGACGGGTGTTGTTTTGGCTGTCATCATGTGAGCGTCATATAAGACAGCTGCAAGGCACGAATTGACATACAGTTCAATCTCTTCTAGACTGTGGTCTCTCTCTCCCTGGCGTAAGGATGTGAAGCTCACCAAGTCGCGTATTGACATCGTCTTCCTATCTGATAATGGTATTAGCACGGGGCGCTTGGGCTATTGTTGCTATAGCTACTTTCGTGCTCTGTAAACTCAAATGTATGTAGTTATTCTTTATATATATATGATATACATATATAGAATAGAAAATATACGCTGCTGCTGTTTGTTCGTGACGACGAGTGTATTCTGCGCCGGAACGTTTGATTGATTGATTGATTGATTGAAATGATGTGAGCATGTCTCGGTCGAATTGTCATTCGTTGATTGAATCCTCACTCCATCAAAATGACACTCGATCTCATCTCGTCGGTATCTATTAGTTCGGGGTGGCTTTGTTGGCTTTGGCTGTTGTTCCCCGTCTTCTCTCGACCGCTCTTTTTCCCTGTTTCTGCTCTCTCATAGATCTTGCTCTTCTTTTTTGTCTTTCCCTTTTGATTTAATTTATATCTCATTGATCTTGCTCTTCTTTCTTGTCTTTCTCTGTTGATTTAATTTATATCTCATTGATCTTGCTCTTCTTTCTTGTCTTTGCCTTCTTATTTAATTTTCATCTCATTGATCTTGCCCTTCTTTCTTGTCTTTCCCTTTTTTTTATTTAATTTAAAGTAACGAGAGGGGGAGCCGGCTTCCAGAACATACGGAAAACTTTGCACACCTCGGCGGGAACGAGAGGTTACCTCGGCGGGAACGAGAGGGTGAGTGGGAGGAATTGAAGGGAGAGGCTAATTACTCTTGATTGTATCGATCACCACCGTAGAGGCAGATCGTTGGCAGGTGCTATGATAACTCGCTCGTCTCAGAGATCTCTCAGTGAGTGTATGCAATTCTCTACCGTACCTGCAGAGTTTTCTGCCAGTAGTTTTTTATTTCTGCTTCAACGTTGAACATCAATCAAGTAGGAAAGTTTGAGAAAGGGAATGGGATTCCGAGATTCTTTTCCGTTTAATCTTTATTTAGTTATAGTTTATTTAAAATTGAAGAGGCGGGAACTCGAGAAACTTGGTGGACGTGAAGGTTGTGGTGGTGGTGTTGTAAACGAGGTTTGACGGAACCTCTTGAGTGGGACTGGTGTACGTATTAGTCTGTCCGCGGTGACGGTAGAACGGTAAACAAACGGATCATGATGAGTAGGTGCCTTTTGAGGGCTTAACGAGTTCAATCCATTAGCAGCACCTGGTTAAGAACTTATGGGCGAGAGCAGGCACAAGCAGAGAAGGCCTCGGTCTTGCTCGGATCTGGGGGGTTTGATGGCTTTGAATGGCTAGTCCGATATGCAAAGGGGGGGAAACGATGAGAGAGAGAGAGAGAGAGAGAGAGAGAGAGAGAGAGGTGTAAGACGTATAGAAGGGAGCCTTGGGACGGTGTTAATGCATCGCATGGTTCTGCAGTTTACCGGATGTCGAGCAGTGGCGGCAGGGGTCGTCAGCTGGAGCAGGGGTGTCTCCGAGGATGGTTCAGGGAAGCAATGTTAAGAAGGCGATTTGTGAATTGAAGGCAGGTCCGTTAACAGAGCGGATGGGTGAACATTAGGGACTCTTCTTGGAGTGGGAAATCAGGTTGGCGGCAGGGTAGAATGTTTCACTGGGCTTCTTGATGGGCTTACAGGCGTGTGAGCCTTATATTGTGAGTGGAACATCTCTCTCATTTCAACTGCACCCGGCTTTGCCGGTACGTCAACGCTGCTTGTTGCTGTGTACTCTCATTTCAACACGTCAACGCTGCTTGTTGCTGTGTTCCGATCGGCGCCTTGTATTTCAATTTCGATTTTGCAGGAACTCTGCAACCTTGTATTTCAATTCCAATCTGCCAATCATGGTGTTCGACTCTCTTTCTCGAATGTTGTGTTGATGTATGTGTGCGTGCGTGCGTGCCCGCCCCCGCATGTGTGTGTGTGTGTGTGTGCGTGTGTGTATGTGCGTGTGTGTGTGTGTGTGTGTGTGTGTGTGTGTG